GTGATGCAGGGCGAGCAACACGGTCAGTCCTAGAGCTGGGACCTGCGGAGAAAGTATTCGAATTTTGGTGGGGGAGGGTGGAAGAAGGAAAACGTGAAAGTGTAATAAGGGAGGCGTCAGCAGAAGCATGTTTTCGCTTACCCGCCCTGCTGTATGCAGCAAGTAAGGCGACCCGGCTGATGTCACCACGCGACGGCCGATGTGGCATGAATTTATTTGTGTATGTGCAGTTCATGGTTGTACGTGGGCTGGGATACTGCCAGGGCGCCCACACCTAGACAGGAGGACGATTAGGGTCCTCAACCAACGCCTTTGGCTCAAAAGCCTAACCGCAAGGCAGCGGTGTTCGGCTGGAAACGCAAATACATTACCATTTTTACGGAACACGTCGCCATACATGTTCCAACCCCCAACCTGGAGGGGCAGGAGGCTGTGTTCGTCGGACCCTCACCCATGGACCAACCTGGCATGAGAGACTCTGTGAGTATCTTGCGGACACTCCACAGTATAGCTCAATGGGTCGCCGAGGTACACAAACCGCCACACCATGGTAAGGTCCAGTCTCTTCGTGACGGTTCGGCTAGCTCAGATCGATACTGTTGAACTACGGTAGTTCCTCGAAGATATTGGATTGGCATGTTACTTGATAATTTGCGAGGATCTGAAGGGAGGCGAACTGTCAGGCGTTGCGTGCACGCACCATGCGGTGATCGGAATCAAGTGGTGCCCCAGAAGGAACAGCAGTCTTGAATTGTGGTTATCCACCGGTGGCTGATGGCCACGTGGTCCAATTAGGTCCAGGGTCAGTCAGTGGGTTGGGAAACCTGGCACTTTCCCAACCCTCGCACTTCCTTCGGGTGGCATGGCGTTTAGGCACCGAACGAATTAGCTGGTGTCCACCAGGTTACCCGATGCGCGCATTTACGCTGAAAGTTCGTAGCAGTCAGAAACAACCGATGATCAGCACACAACTGAAGAAGTTGCTCTTCGTTGTCTGTGGGACAAGCACCGGTCTGATTGAACTGTACAACCGGACGGCGCAACGACGGCTGTTGATTTGGATCCAGTCCAGCAGAGCGCATTCAGAACTGGGCCTGAACGCTATTCCCACTCCATACATTCGACGAGTCATCGCCTCTGGAACACGGGGCACACGGCACCAGGAATGTGAAACAGTTAAGTTCATCCTGTTTTATGAGATGCATGACAACACTTGGGTCTTGTAAGTGGAGAAATAGCATACACCAACTTCAAGACAGTACAACGTTTCAGCAAGCATTGCCTGTTTACCAATTTGACATAGAGTGTGGACGTTAAATGATCCTATGGAGAACGAAGCTCATTGATTTAGCGAGGTTTTATTCCTCCATTATTATCACTATGTTTATTTTATCACTATGTTATTTATTATTTACTATTTTTATTCCAGTCATTGAGGCGCTTAAAGCCCATTGGTCAGATAATTGAAAGTCAGTAAGTAACTGACTGCATATGTTCTCTCAAGCGCCACCGAGCTCCCGGTCCGGATGACCTTCCACCTGCATTGTTCAAAGACGGAGGTGAAGCCCTCAGTCAGCGCTTGTCCGACCTGTTTGCTTGCATTTGGGAAAAGGAGTCTGTCCCAGACAACTGGGGAGAATCGGTGATAGTGCCCATTTTCAAAAAAGGGGCGCGTAGTGAGTGTGGTAACCACAGGGGGATCAGCTTGACCCCGGTTGTAACGAGACTGTTGGCGTCAATTGTGCTTCGTCGCCTTACGGTGGCTCGTGAGATGCTGACCCGAGA